CCGAACAGCCACATGTTCATCATAGTCGAAGTGGATTTGGATGGAGACCATTTACAACATAAAACATGACTGAATCCATCCTCCAGCCTGCGGTTTCGGGACAATATATAATTGAAATGGCTGGACCGAACAAATGGCCGAATCTGGCGGAACAGTTCGGTCAAGCGGCCGTCATGTGATGGCGAAGCGGGGGCATCTGAGGCGGAGTTGGCAGCATCTCAATGTCGGCTGAGACGAGTCGAAGATGAGTCGTCTTGACGACCGCGGAGGAGGGCAGCTCTTCACGGCCATCGGGCGGTTCTTGATTGTTTCGATGCGGCAGTCTGTCCAGCCGTCTCACCTCCTCCGTGACGGAGAGGCCAGACGACGCCGGAGACGAGGACGATGAGGACGAGGCGGAGGAGGTAGAAGAGGAAGAAGAGGAGACTGAAGAGGCAGGCGTCTGGTTCGAATCAAGACCGGCGGGCACGGGTGCATCTGCCGGAGCGGTGCGAAACGAGACCGGCGGTTCAATCAACGAAGGTGTCAGACTCTCCACCGATTTGTGTCTTCCCGGCAAATGGTGCTCCTTCGGTGCGAACCCGACCTCGTCAGTTCGAGCGCCGGTTTTCGGATGGTCCGTCAATCTCTCAACGCCCGAGTCGCCGGTGACCGCGGCGGACGCGGCGGACGCGGCGGACGTGGCGATCGGCAACACCGTAAGCCTCGACCTGCGTCCGGGCCCGAGGACCGAGCAGGCGGACTCGGGCTCGTCGACCGAGGCCGATCGGAGTAGAGAAAAGTCGACAAAAGTGGCCAAGTGCGGGTCGACCCCGGAGGCCAAAGTAGGCGCTCGGAAACCGGACACAGCCCCCCTCTGCCCTCCGGTGCTCGGACTCAGCGCCCCCTCTTGAAATGTCCGGCAGTCATAGACACCGCTCACCAGACTTCCGCCCAACGGCGCGATGATCTCCGACTGGATGGCAGCGCCGTCCTCCTCGCTCTCGTGTCCGTAGACCGTCTGGTGGGCATAGACCTGATGTGCCGGGTTGCCGCGTGGCCTGATTGCCACACCCAGACGTCCAGGGCCTGGATCGGTTACTTGTCTCGTAGTCATGCCAACCTCGAGGCCTCGAAATCCGTCCACCTCCAGCAAATCGCCCGGGCAACTGCCCAAGCCGCTGGCAGATCCACCCTCGGCAGAACCGCTGCGTGTCGCCATTTCGCTGCCAGAACCGCAGGCGTTGGTCATCTTCACATTCGACACGACGCAGCCTTCAACCGGACTCGGACTGTACGGCTCGCTCGACAGGACATAAACTTGCTGCTGTTGTGTCTGATGTTGGTGTTGATGCTGATGCTGCTGATGATGTTGGTGCTGCTGATAGTGGTGATGATGTTGGTGCTGCTGGTGCGGCTGTTTGTGCAGATTTTGGTTCGTCGGAAGACCAGACAAGTCTGCAGTGTAGGATTTGTCAAAGCTCTCCGAGGCCGCCTCGACGTCGCACAGCGTCAACATGGCATAGTTGGTGCTCACCGACGGGCCGACCGATGGGCTGGCACTGAGACGGAGTCGGTGTTGCCCAGCAACTGACGGACTCAAATGATCTAGCTCCAGGTCGGACGGCTGGAGTGGACCGTCGGGCAGACGCGACTTGGAGACCAGGCAGTTGGACGTGCCTCCAGAAGAGTACTGTCGGGGGATGGCAGAAAGAAAAGGTAGAAATGTAGATACGAAGAGAAACTTGCTTTCGATGAATCTGCTGAGATAGCATTGTTAGGAGGACCTTCATTTCGAATGAAAGTGCATGAAGAAGAGATACGTTGGTCGATCTCTCCAGATGAGGACGGATGAATCTCGTTGTACTGCAGGCGTTTGCATTTTATTCGATGTTCATGTTGACACAGTCCACGAGACTTGCTCCCTCGGTTCGGTATCATCATCACAACCAAATTCAAGCTTGACTCATTAGCTTGAATTTTGTTGTGACGATGTTGCCTCGCTTTGATGATGTTCGTCAGAGGACAGACGAGAGCTCAGCACCTTTTCACCGGAATCGAAGCCTCAAAAACAGCGTCAGCATGAATCTTCCAAGAGGAATCCGCCGTCGTCTTCTGGTGGAACCGACCTTCGAATCTCTTGACCCAACACTTTCACTTGAAATGGAAGTAATATCAACAATTATGAAACTAGAGAGTCCTCTAAAACCCTATTTTTCTTTAAATATAAGTAACCCCGTTGGCTTAGAGGCCAAATAAGTCTTCACTTCAACGATAGTTTCAATCTCGATGTGATTTGCTTAGAGTTTCTCATCTGTTTTGCAATCAACTTGAACCTGTGACTGTGGAGCAAAGTGGTAACATCACCACGATGCCAACTACTCTATATTTAATCCCATGTGGAATGTTGATGAGACTTAGTTGAGGTGAAAAATACAGCCTATCCTGGACGAAATGGAAGTAAGTAAGTAGGGTTTCGAGACTACCAGTAAATCAGTGTAATGAGATGTATTCACCCTATTTCGTGTAAGGTGATGAACGGACTGGTAGTAGAATTTTCCCACAATGAAATAGGGTGAATACATCTCATTACATTGAAATGGAAGTAAGCTCAACAATTATGAAACAAGAAATTCCTCGAAACCCAACTTTTCTTCACATCATATGATGGACATCATCAGAGCTGGGTGTCATTCTTGTAAAAGTCAAATGTTAAAACTGGGCCAAGAAGACTATCCGGCTTTATCTTAACTCATAAAGACTCAGTTAAGCCAAAAGAAAATTAAAAATTAAAAACCTAGATAGATATAGAGTGGTTTGGCTAATTATCTTTCATAGTCCGGCTACTTTCGCTCGAGTGTATGCGTGTGTGTGTTACCGTCTATACACAATACCGGTCCTAACTCAGAGTTATCGTAAGAATAAAGTTAGGCCATGATCATCAAGACCTAATGACCTCAAAGTTGAGCCATTGTCAAAAAGAGGGCGACTCAATTTGTTTGCTCGTTGGTGATTCTAACTTCACTCACGCTCGTTCAACCTGTTAGATTAAGCTCATCAACCAAACCATACGTGCCAAAAATTACGCAGCCCCAGTCATGCCTTTCCTTAGAGGGTTGAACGTTAATGATCATAGACCGAGAGGTTAGGACAAGTGGTTTCGTAGCTTGAATTACATGCTTACGAGCTCATATCTCATTATCTCAATCATGCTTGCTTACGGACTCATGCAGTCTCGGTCAGGGCTTTCTTTGATGCCATTAGGCGATCACAGCCTAGCTTTAAACTTGTGATAACTCTGATTTAGGACCGCTATTGCGTATAGACGCTAATACAGACACACATACACTCGGGTAAAAGTAGCAGGACCATTATGAGAGATAATTATCCAAACTACTCTAAATATTTCGAATTAAGTATTGTTTTCGTGACTACCAGTAAATCAGTAATATGAGATGTATTCACCCAATTT